CTCATGCAAAGTTGGGAAGCAGTTGAACAATTGTTTCGAAATTTGTTTGTATAAATAAATCCTGTTGCATACGCTTGCTTTACAAACATTTATTTTCAGGCATGCATCATTTCTTTGTAAAAGTACCAAGGGAAATTATCTTTTTATGGATCTCTAAGTTCCCTTCTAAACACCAAAAAGCAAAAAGCTGGACAGCGAACGTGACTTAACATGTTTCTGTTTTCTGGAAATAAATTATATAGGTGGTTTTAAAAACTCTCAGCGACAAGCTAGCCCCCGCTTGTCTTGATCTTAGCTGTCATGACCCCGAGATTCGCTTATTTCCCTATCCCAGCCTTCTATTTTTTCCCTCATGGTTGTTTGTTGCCCTAGCAACTGCCAATTAACCTCAGTGTTTGTGTGCTTTATTATGCCGTTTCGCGCATAATAGCTCGTTTCCCTTGACAACTGACTCTGGCGCGACCGGTGCGCACGCGTAGAAGGGGGAAAGTGTGATCTGTTTTCGCGCAGTGCTTTGGTGATTCTATCGGAATTCAAAAGAAACATCGAACGCTGCTCACATCTTCATGTTTCGAACCCATAGATTTACCTTAACATACGTTGAATTCCGATAAGTATAGTCGAAGTGGTTGCAGTTTCAACCTTACCTGGTAGTATACTATTTGTGATTGTTAGAAAATGCTTAGAAGTGGGATATAAGAATGGTGTTCACGAACTATGGGTTCATGTTTCCGACAGTTCTAGGGCGAATAATATTCATCAGGTGACATCTCTGACGACAGAAAATTATTAGCTTTTTCAAGTTCGGAAAAGCAAATTTACGGGGATGCGCATCGTTTCCTTCGTCGACACGTTTAAAGGAGATGACTAGGAAATGGCGAATCAATCAGCTGCAGTAGTCTATTAAAATGCTCGCTTAATGACAAACTGAAACCACTTGATATCTGAAAAGAACTGATCTCATTTGGGCTGAAAAGCCTGTTTTCAACGGAGAACTCGTCTTTCGTTTATCTGCCAACTTCTGAAAGGAATTGACCGAGGCAGATAGCATTTCGACAAAGACACGGGAGACTGG